GAAATAATCGTTATGCGAATCAATTTTCCCCATAAGAAATAATGGAAATAAAATTAATCCGTGCAAGACGCCCAAAAGTATGAAAAAAATTTTTTTTACCACTTGAAATGTTAATTTTAATACACACAAACTGAAAAGCATGCACAATTAAATGACACTTACTTTTATTGAAGATCTGGTGATGATTGATGGGATGGGAGGAGGGGAGAGCAATTATCTTCTTACTGTTTAGAAGGGGAATCCCTTCATAGGACTTGAGGTAGTAAGTCCTTTTCTGGGGTTACTTCCCTTCTTCTTTAATGCCACTAGGGCCAGCTTCAGAGTCACTGGACTTCTTTCGCACAAGATATCTGTCCATAGTGGCCTGTACCTCTCGTTCCTTTATGACTTGCCTAAAGTGTTTCACAACATTGTCAGTGTAATAATCACCAGCACGCTTGCAATAGCTGTGTGAGGGTGATTTTCATCCATGAAGGTTTGCACTTCAAGCCACTTAGCACAGATTTCCTTAATCTTTGAAGTAGGCAACTTCTTCAATTTCTCTCTCCCTCCTCCGAAGCAATTTCCTCAGGTGTGGCCTCTTGCTGTTGAAGTTGATCTAGCAGCTCATCAGTGGTTAGTTCTTCATTGTCCTCCTCCACCAACTCTTCCACATCCTCCCCACTAACCTCCAACCCCAAGGACTTTCCCAAATGCCACAATGGATTCCTCAACTGGCACAGGATTCTCAGGGTTAGCCTCAAACCCTTCAAATCCCTTTTGTCTACACATTCTGGCCACAGTTTCTTCCAAGCAGAGTTCAAGGTCCTCTTTGTCATTCCTCCCAAGCCTTACCTATAAGGTTTACACAATTGAGGATGTTAAAGTGATCTCTCCAAAACTCTCTTAGAGTCAGTTGAGTTTCTGAGGTCATTACAAAGCACCTTTCAAACAGAGCTTTTGTGTACAGTTTCTTGAAGTTGGAAATAACCTGCTGGTCCATGGGCTGCAGGAGAGGAGTGGTATTAGGAGGCAAAAACTTCACCTTAATGAAGCTCATGTCCCCATAAAGTCGCTCTGACACGTCTGTAGGATGACCAGGGGCATTGTCTAACACCAGGAGGCACTTAAGTTCTAATTTCTTTTCAGTTAGGTAATTTTTCACATTGGGGGCAAATGCATGGTGTAACCAGTTATAGAAAAATTCCCTAGTGACCCATGCCTTACTGTTTGCCCTCCACAGCACACACAAATTATCCTTGAGGACATTCTTTTGCCTGAACGCTCTGGGAGTTTCAGAGTGATACACTAATAAAGGCTTCACTTTGCAATCACCAGTAGCATTGGCACACATCAACAAAGTAAGCCTGTCTTTCATAGGCTTATGTCCTGGGAGTGCCTTTTCCTCCTGAGTAATGTAGGTCCTGCTTGGCATTTTCTTCCAGAACAGGCCTGTTTCATCACAATTAAACACTTGTTCAGTTTCGTCCTTCAGTTTCTATGTACTCCTTGAATTCCTGCACATATTTTTCAGCCGCTTTGTGGTCCGAACTGGCAGCCTCACCATGCCTTATCACACTATGGATGCCACTACGCTTCTTAAATCTCTCAAACCAACCTTTGCTGGCCTTAAATTTCACTCACATCATCACTAGTTGCAGGCATTTTTTTAATTAAATCGTCATGCAACTTCCTAGCCTTTTCACATTATGATCGCTTGAGAGACGCTATCTCCTGCTATCTGTTTTTCATTTATCCACACCATAAGAGTCTCTCAACATCTTCCATCAATTGCGATCTTTGTTTCGAAAACACAGTTGAACCTTTGGCAAGAACAGCTTCCTTGATTGTCTTTCTGGTGCCCACAATAGTAGCGATGGTTGATTGGGGTTTCTTGTACAGCTTGACTAGGTCGGCTATACGCACTCCACTTTCATACTTATCAATTATCTCTTTCTTCATCTCTATAGTAATTCTTACCCTTTGAGGTGTAGGGTTGGCACTAGAAGCTTTCTTGGGGCCCATGGTCACTTATTTTCCAGAAACAGCACCGAAAATACTGTAATAATACGAAATATTCCGAGTGTATGCTTGGATGTTACCGCGGAGGCTGGCTGGTAAACAATGGGACGGAGCGGCACATGTGAGGCTGGCTGAGGGCACATTGGACGCGTCTCGGACGAAAATCGGTATGCGGGTTTTTAATCGGTATGCGGGGCAAAAATTTTCCGATAAAAGTAATCGTTATGCGGAAAAATCGCTATGCGATGCCATCGTTATGCGGGGGTCCACTGTATATGACATTTAATGCGTCTCAGAGTGATTATTATGGCTCATTATTATTATTAGTAGTAGTACTACTATGGTGTCCTCAAGACTAATTAGACACTCTTAGTGATTCTAATGTGTACCTGCCTGCCAGAACAGTGATTCTAATGTGTACCTGCCTGCCAGAACAGTATTTAAGTTTACTTAGGTACAGGTACAATTATCAGAGTACAGTGGAACCCTGGTTTTCGAACAATCTGTTCCAGAAGGGCGTTCTAAAACTGAAACGTGCGAAAACTGAATCAATATTTCCCATAAGAAATAATGTGAATACAATTAATCCGTTCCAGACACCCGAAAATATTAACAAAAAATAAATTTTTTAAAGATTAACTCTAGTGCTGCAGCTCTTCAGTAGTTAGCTCTTCCCTGTGGTCATCCACCAACTCTTCCACATTCATTACTTACCCTAAAATATTCGTAGTCTTAATGTAGGGCGAGAGGCGAGTAGTACTTTTTTGTAGGAAGTCACTCTGACTTTTTTAAGTTATCCTAGGTTTTCTACACATATGATGCTATGTATGATAATCTCTGTAACTGTATTTGTGTATACCTGAATAAACTTACTAAGTAGCCAGTAGATGTAGGTGGCCAGTAGAGGTAGGCAGCCAGTAGGTAGCCTGGGCTACATACATACACCTACCTACATAGCTGCACTATATTTAATGCAGCCCAGAGCCATATTATTACCATCAACATACCTTGTTCACTGAGTTTAATCAATTCTAACAACTACCTTTAGATGCCGTCATAAACAAAGGGAGAAGTAATTCATGCTGAGAATTGTAAATAAAAGCCAGATGCAGATTCATACAGTTATCTCTAATGCTCAACCAGAGAAAAAGAGAAAACATAAAGTTTTCCCTCCACAACTACCACCCTTCGATGGCATATAAACATTGCATGTTTACTATGCTATGTAACGTGTTTCTTTTATAATTTTGAAGAAAATATTATAGATGGATTAATGAAAATGTCTATATTAACATAAAACAAGACATTAAATGTGCCCAAGAGTAAGTCATGAACGTATGAGCAGCCCAGGTGGACACGTCTGATACGTATGATTTCCAGATTAAGGTCTGATATCAGGAGCAAAATTTCGCACAAAAAAAGGTTCTAAAACCGAATCATCCGATAACTGGGGCGTGCAAAAACCGGGATTCCACTGTATATATATAAAATATAAAATAACTTTAAAACACTTGAAATTTTGGATAGTTTCCAGACATAACAGAGAGACACGGAGCTCATGGAGAATGTAAACAAACTAGGTGGGGTGTGGTGACTATATTAGAAAGTCAGGTGGGGGGAGCTGTATAGCGAGTTTTTGGTCATAATTTGAAATGTCCATATTAGCGGAATGCCGTAAGGCAAAACGCAGTAAAGCAGGGCCCTACTGTATAGTAAAAGTTGCACTTCCAGGGTCTTGGAAAAAATTGCCATAAAACCATCATATTTTGGGGTTTGAGCTTCGATAGTTTTGAGGTATGATGCATCTTCTGGAAGGGATTAATATCATAACTAAATAGACCACTGTACGTATATTGAAAGTCTCAATTAAGCAGATGTAGTCTGCTTAATCGATTGACTGCTGGAGATAAACACAAGTTCCCAATAAACCAGACCTAGTGCAATGTATTGATAGACATACTAAGAATAAACTAGAATACAATACAGTAGTACAGTACACTGCTGTACTATACAATACACCTATAACTGTACCTGAAAAGAAAATGAGTTAAAAGCACAATACAGTAGAGTACAATACAGTAATTTTTATCATGTATTCTGGTGGATACACCAGCTTTCAGATGTACAGTATTTCTGTGCTTCAACCCTTGTATCTTGGGCCATTTTCATACGCTTCCTAGGAATAACTGAAGAGCCTTTAAGGCTAGCATCTACACTGTACTTCATGGCATATTCTGTAAGCATTTCCTTTGCTATACCATACTCCTCATGCACCTGGACCACTGAAATGCCAGCCTCCAGCTTCCTTATTAATTTGAGTTTGTACTTTACTTAACAGTCAAGGTCGCACATTTCTTGGCACTGCCACTTTCTTTGTTAATAATACTGCACTGGTTCCTTTGATAAAATGATGAAAAACACTTGTAAATCCTGGGAAAATTGGAAATGAAATAACTGTGGTATGTGAGCACCTGCACCTACAATAACAAACTGATGCAGGCTTAGTTACTGCTGACCATGGATGACAAAAATGAACATGTCTAAGACAAAGCCAAGACTGGACAAACTTGCACTTAAGCAGGGTTGGTCCATCCTGTTGAGCAAATGGCCAGACTCAAAAGCCATGCAGTATAGTGGATTTGGTTCACTTCATGACTGTTTTAGTCAGACACTCATTTAAAGGGACATATTGAGCCTTTGCCAGCCTGTTTTTTTTTTTTTTTTATCTGTTTTAGCCCATATCCATTTCATGGAAGTCCATTTTATTGATGGGTGTGAATTTTCTTTATTTATGAACTTAGACTATAATTTAAGAAAATTTATATCTAGCATAACACTGTCTTAGTTTTGCCATCATGTAGGTTTGGTTTTGCCCTAATGTAGGTTTGGTTTTCGCTCTTACGCAAATCATTTTTAATTTTTAAGTTTTCTAAGGAGAATTTAAAGCCAGTGAGATGTTGAATAATGTCAATTTTAAATTGTTCTTGTTGATGTTGCAGGTGCTGGTGGGCGAGGCTGCATGGTCTGGGGAGAGAGTGTCGGAGCTGAGGCAGCTGGCTCGGCAGATTCAGCTACACGTGGCAGAAGACACTGCCCAAGATACACCCCTCGTCGCTGAGGTTGAACGCCTTGGATTCAGAATTACCAACCTGACTGAAGCCATTACTCAGCTCAGTAGCAATTTGGCATTACAAGTTGATGCTGAAAACCAGCAACAAGAAGAGGCTGCTCTACATGAGTTACAAGCTGGTATTAATGGAGCCCAGACTCTGTTAGCATTACCTGAACCTGGGTTAGAAGAGGCAGCCGAACGGGCAGTCCAGCTGAAAGACCAATTAGTGGCTTTAGGTAGTTCTGGCGGGCCCATTATTGAGAGTGGCCCAACACAGGTGGTAGAGGCTTGGCAAATTGCAGTTCGTGATACACACTCTCGTTATGAACAAGTGGTGGCGGGTCTCAGTGGAGATGATGAGCAACTTGCAGCTGCACTGAGTGCTTGGAAACAGTATGTGGATAGTGTGGAGCAAGAGATGAGTTCACAAGCCCCAGCCTCTCGTGAGGGTCTGCACGAGGCTTCCCGCCTCTGCCAGGTTCACCGTTCTATCCTTACCACACAGACTAATGTCTTGCTAACACTTCAAGAGCAAGCACAACAAGTGGATGCACCTTCACGAATTAGAAACCTACAAGGCCGCCTACGTGAACTTATTCTACGCCACAAAACTGTTCTTGCTACAGTGAGTGAACAAGAGCAGATTATACTCCAGACAATTGCCACTTGGGAAACTTATCGTGTCAAAGTAGCTCAGTTGCAAACCTGGATATTGGCACTGGAGCAAGAGAAACAAGGCCTGCAGTTGAGGCAGGTTGCTCGTAGACGACTTGACAAAGTTATCAGTAGACTGCAGTCGTTGCTGGAGCAACTATGCCGTGGAGAAGAACAAGTAGATGATGTTGCAAAACTTTGCCAGAAGTTGGTATTATCATGTGATCCAAGTATACACCCCATTTTGAAGGCCGAATTAGCATCTCTGCAGCAACGAGTGACCAACATGCGTGCTGGTGTAGAAACATGGCTGAGTTATCTCAACAAAAGCTCTAATTTGTGGCGGCGCTATGAAGAAGTTTACACCAAACTCTATACCATTTTAAGCGAGTTACAGGCTGGATTATCTTCTGATCTTCCTTCTGATTTCAGCAGTGTTCAAGAAACAATCAAGAAATACCACGAAATCACTGCTTCTTTAGAAGCCCTAAGTGGAGATTTATCATTGTTAAGAACCACTCGTGAAGAGATGATAGATTCACTAACTCCTGCTGACCTTCGTTTAGTAACCCAGCGAATGTGGCGTGTCACTCAGTTGGAAGGTGAACTACTTCATCAGTACAAGCTCAGGATTTGCACTTTAGAGGATAGACTGGAGTTATGGCAGCTGTATGACACAAGATACCAACAATTTCTTGCCTGGGCTAAAGACATGGAGATCAAAATTGAAGGTGGCTCAGAACAGTACATTGATACTCTCATTAGGAAACTTGAACATGACTATCAGGAAGATATCAATACTAAAAGCATTGAAAAACTTTGGCTTATATCTGAGGGTGAAGAATTAATATCCTGCAGTAATGAAGATCAAGCTGCTGACTTGAAGGAGAAGGTAGAAAACATTGAAGCAACCTGGAAGCATATTCATGATAAATGTAATAGCAGAAAACAGAAGCTTCAGGATATAGTTACCACCATAAACAAAGCTGAGGTCACACTGGCTGAGCTGAAGGAATGGCTCTTCTTAATTGAGAAAAAGCTGTCAAGTCCTGTAATTTTCCAAAATAGCTCCAAGAAAGAAATAGACCGTTTATTAGAAGCAGAAGAAGAGATAAGAAAGGAGATCGAAAGGCAGAGTGGAACCATATCCTCAGTCTTAAACCTTTGTGATATGGTTATTCGTGACTGTACAGAGTTTGATGCTAATGGTGATACTGATTCTTTGCAAGAAGCACATCACAATCTTGAACGTCGATGGGGTGAGATCTGCACTCGATCTGCAGAAAGAAAAGCATTTATGAAAAATACGTGGAAAATGTGGCAGGACCTCATTACAGTGAATACTAGTTTTGAAACATGGCTAACAATGATGGAGTCAAAAATAAGTAATATATCATCCTCATCAACACTTGTACCATATAGTGAAATTGAGAAGAGGATAGCCACAGTTCATGAGCTGCAGCCATTAATCCATGACCAAACACTCCAGTATGAAATTCTCAACCAGAACTACCGGGTGTTGGCAAGACCCTATGGAAGAGAAAACAGATTGGACCAAGCTAATGAAATCAGAACAATGGTTAAGACTTCTAATGCAAGATTCCATATCCTTAGTTACCGTGTTACAGTTATTTTAAGACGTCTGATGTATAGTAGAAAGCTATATGAAGAATTTGAAAACAAGAGAGAGCAATTAATGGCTTGGCTTAATGATTTTGATCTTAAAGTTTCTGAATATGAGCATCAGCCTTCAGATGATCTGGAAAATAAAAAGAAGACTCTTTTAGAACTAGTTGCTGAATATGAAAAATATGAAAGACATTTAAAGAACTTTGATGATATGATTACCTACCTTTTCCAGAGGAGTTGCTATTCTGATTGCATTATCATAGAAGAAAGCCTTACAGAGTATTGGATAACCAGAAAACACATTCACTCAAACCTTTTGGCTTTGCAAGAGGCTATTGAAATTGAAATCACTCAAATCACAATGATAACTACAACAACCACACAAATTTTAGAGACCCAAAAGACACTGAGATTATCTGAAGAAAGATCACTTCAAGACCAAGATGATGATTACAAAGTTCCTTTAGTGTCAGATGCAGAGCTATACAACTTGGAACCAACCCTTAGTTCAACAGATATGTCTCTGATTGGTGCTGTGGGTGGCAGATCCTTGGCTGTGGAGATGCGTGTGGCACTTGATGAGAGCAAGAGACTTTTGGCACAGTTAGAAGAAGCACTTAAATGCCCTACACCACAGGGGGCTGAGGTTGACAAGATGTACTATTCCTTTGTAAGTAGATTTTTTTTTTGTAATATTGTATTTAAAGAGAAGCATAATTAATATTAAATTTGAATTTGTTTTGTTCTTTTGCATAGCCTGAATGATGGAATAATAGGAACAATTCACAACTGCCTTAAGCTTTCGAGAGGGAATTTTAAATGACATTATGGTCCATCCTGTACCATTACCAAGTTGGGACAAAACACAAATAACCCATACGTAGGAGACGAACTTATGATAACATTTCAGTTCAACTTGAAATTGTGTGACTAGTTAATGGTCCAAGTCGCACTGAAACATCATAAGTTTCAGTCCATTGCAGATTATTTGTGTATTACTAAGTTACAACTAAGATTAAAAACCAGTGGACAGGTGAAGAAAAAAGTGTAGTGTCTTCTGGAATTTTCTTGGCCTGACCCATCTTTTTTGACTATCCTCACCTGCTTTTCTTGCCTGTTGTGACTTGTCAAGAATGGAACAAAATGTCATATATATAATTTTCTTCTCTAAGGTGTGAGTTGTTATGAATGGTGGTACTGTATAATATTTGTTAACATTGCTAATATGCTCCTCCTTGTCTATAGTCCAAGCAGTTAGCAGGATGTCGATCATCAGTAGACCTACTCACCTCCTTGGTACGACACACTGGCGATGACAGCGAAGCAAGAGAGCTTCACCCTGAAATAGATGCTGCTATAGAAGAATTTAAACAATTAGAGGTTCTTTCACAGGCCAAGCAACAAAGACTCAAAGAGAACAGGTAACGCTTTGTTTTCTGTCAGTGATATTTACTCTGACTCATGAGAAATATGCATATGCATGTACAGTACGGTACACCCTTCTCATAATGCTAGGAATATACTCATGAAACTCATCGCCTATGGAAAAATAGCAACAGCAACTACAATGGATGGAATGAAAGGCTTGATTATCATTAAAGATAATTTATAAAATGTTTAAAAAAAAAAAAATTTACAAAGTCTTGGGAACATAACCCAATTCTATTTTTCCATATGTTCTTCAGTTCATATAACCCTTTGACTGTTTTGGTCGTATATATACATCTTACAAGGTACCGTGTTTGACGTATATGTACTCATAAATTCTAGCGGCTTCAAATCAAGCAGGAGAAAGCTGATAGGCCCACATGTGAGAGAATGGGTCTGTGTGGTCAGTGTGCACCATATAAAAAAAATCCTGGAGCACGCAGTGCATAATGAGAAAAAAAAAAAAATTCGACGTTTTTTTTTTTAAATTAAATGCCGAATTTGTGGTCTATTTTCGTATAGGATTTATGTTGTATTCTCGTTTTCTTGGTCTCATTTGATAGAATGGAAAACATATTATATAAATAGAGGTTTTTTTGATTGGTTTTACTATAAAAAGAACCTGGAAATGGAGCTCAAAGTATTTATTTATTTATTTATTTATTTATTTCCAATTTGTGCACACATACAGAGGTACAAAAAAAATACAGATAAGAGCAGTATGCCAAAGCCACTTATACTATGCATAGCATTACGGGCTGGCTTAAAATTAACTTAAGATTAACTAAGCAATGATTATTATTATTATTATAATCAAAAAGAAGCGCTAAGCCACAAGGACTATACAGCGCTGCTACTAAGCAATGATGAAATCAGTGATAAAACATTAATGTAAACAGATAACTATAAAGCACAAGTGAGTATTACAAAGACAGGTCATATGGTTGCATTCAGTTAGGTAGTGATTCTGTTAGGTAGTGTATTTAAAAAATAATAAAGTTAGATTGGGTTTTAGGTTTAACATTTATGTGATATAATTGTGAGAAACATTTAAGGGTAAGTAGGGTAAATGTTTGATTTTTGCCGATGTTCAAAAGTAAACAAATGATGTCATTGTCCAATAAATGTCCAACTAGCCATTCTAATATGCAGTCATGAATGGGTTGACATTATTTGTACAATTATTACAGTATTGCAGTAGTCTGCATAACAGTAAATCTTCTATCTTTTGTTTGAATAAAAATTCAAAATAGATAGCAAGAGTAATATCAGAGGGGCCTGGAGACATGACTGATGAACAAAGAAAATGTTATTTTAGAGCCAGGAATGTCTGCATTGTTCATTATGGACCTTATTTTGAAATTGTCATATTTTTTAATTTTCGTGAAATTGGCCAAATTGCAAATTTCTGACCACGTTATTGGGTAGTTGAAATCGGTAAATGGGCAGTTTCTTGTACTCGGTCGATAGAAAAAATGGAGTTCTAAAGAAATAGCTATGAGTTTGGTCGACTGGAACAATGGAATTAGCCGAAAATAGGGCTTAAAGTGGGCTAAATCGCTGATTCGTAAATATTGCCGAGGTCGCTAACTTCACGAGAGCGTAATTCGTTTTTTTGGTGTCATTACAATCGGGAAAAGATTCTCTATCATTTCATGAGAAAAAATAAGTTTTTTTTTTTTTTTTTTTTGCGACACCAGAAGACACCTCAGGATTGGGGGTTGCGACAGTCAAGGGGTTAATATAGTTTTGTTTACATACCATTTTTAGGAATGTAACTACCATGTTATTCGACAGTCAACTGTATTACGTAAATTTTGGCAAGGATATGTTTTGAAACATGATTAAGAATTTGCCAAGTTTATTTATCTGAATTCATCTCTCAGTCCAGTCAGAGCAAATATTTTAAAAAAATTTGTACAGTTTGACAGCTCTGGTTATAAATTACAGTAAACCCTCGATTTAGCACACTTTGAAAATACAGTACAATATTGAATAAAATTTGCTGGCTCAGTTGATTTGGAAACTGGACAAGGTCTGGATTATGGAATTGTATGTTATTGTTAGAATCACAACAAAACAATGTCATCTCATGGCACCACAATTACCATTACCGCCACATGCACTCCCCTGTTAGTCCATGAAATTGAAGGTTTACCTATACATATACTAATGGCTAGAAATGTACTGTGTATATTTTACATTTTCATGAGTAAATTTTTTGGTGACATGTCAAGCTTTTGGCTTTAACTCATTTCTAGTTATAAATATTCTTTCCTCTATTAATTTTTTTTTTTGTGGCATTAAGCTTTTGGCTTTAATTCATTATTTATAAATATTCATGCTTTTTATTACTTTAAAGCTTAATAGATTAGAAAGATTATACTGTATGAATGATAGTAATGTACAAATTGTTGGTGGGTAAGGTGAAGTAATTTTTTTTTTTTTAAATTATATTTGTACATCATTATTTCAGCAAAATGTTGTTATTATGTGAATAAGATGGTATCTGAAAGCATATTTTATGGGTGTAGTTTTTTTTTACTGTCAAGCATATTTTGATAACTATTTCATTAGAAAATGGCTTTATAGGTCTGCAAAATGGTTTGTGTTAATACCTAATTGCTATTTAATGAATTTATATTATTGTGTTGTTTAGTAACAGTGTTGACCTGTAGTGGATAGAAAAAATGAGTTACCAATACCTCTGCTTATTGAATTTTGAATGGCTGACCCATCTCCACAGTTACACAGCTTTTTGCCTTTGTTCTTTCCAAATTAGGACACTTGTTAAAACTTTACGGTAACACGTTACTTTTTTTGTTTTATTAAAAACTGCAGAATTCCTGTTGTTCACTTGCAGTATTACCAGTGGTGTATAATGAAAGAATTACTAGGGTAAGCAAATGACACAAAATGTTTGATAAAGCTTAAGTGTCATTTTTATTGATCCATAGTTCAATGAAATTTTACATTTTTAAGCAAATGATCAATAACTTTGCTGTAAAATTCTGGCTTTCTCTAAACATTTTATAGTACAGTAATTCCTTTTCAGTTGATAGAAGGGCAAAGTGCAATCTTTTTTGACCTTGAAAGTTTCTGAAGTAAGTTTTAACTTGTTTCAAAGCAGAGAAGTTGTGCTCTACAAATGCAGTCATTACTGAAAAAATTAATCCACGAAGGCTAGCTACTTCACTAAGATTTTTTTTTAAGCCATACAACTTTATAAAACTCAACATTTTTGTTATAGGTTTATCTCTGAATTCTTTTGACATAGAAAACTCAAAATTTCTGTTATAGGTGTGTATGTGAATTCTTTTGACATTGGTAAAATTTAAGAAACTTGTAGTTACATTTCAGTAACAGAAGCATGCTCTGGAAATTCTTTTTTAAATCTCAAAAATGGTGAATATAAAAACTAAAAATCCTAATGAAACCAAATTTGAGAATCTCATAACATGGTTTAGTATTTTGTCATGTTTCTGCAGTGATGCTAACAATGATCAGTAAGGGGGTATTGAGGGAGGAACTATAGGGAGTATAAATAACAAAAAAGGCACAATACCGTGACTGGAACGATACAAAAATAACCCGCACATAAAAGAGAGAAGCTTACGACGACGTTTCGGTCCGACTTGGACCATTGATAAAATCAGTGTGACTTTGTCAATGGTCCAAGTTGAACCGAAACGTCGTCGTAAGCTTCTCTCTTTTATGTGCGGGTTATTTTTGTATAGGGAGTATGTTCTACTTTTGTTGTCCTAATCTCTTAAAAAAAAAAAAATTCAGTGTTGACAACAAATATTGACTCACAAAATCGTAATGACACGATTGCAAACAAACAACCTTCCTGTGGTGTAGAAATATACCTAGTTGGATGAATCTTATTGAAGCTAGCTGGCCCAGTGGCTAACACGACGGTCTGGAGTTTTGAGACTCTGACTGCAGGTTCAAACCCTGCCCATGGTATGTTTTTTTTTTTTTACAACAAATATTATTGAGGGGAAATTCTATCATCAGAATGTTTTTCACTGCATATTAGAGTGAACTGAAGCCTTCTTAACATGGATTTAAGAAAAATCTGTGCAACTGTATTTCAATAGCTTTCATCTTATGCCTGGCAGTGATATGTTGTTTTACCCAACAAAAAGGGAAATAATGATACTGCAGATTGAGTACTGCATATCCCAGGGATAGATTTTCCATTGTCAAACACTCCTGTGTAATAAGTTTCAAAAGTTTGGTCAACTTTTACACCGGGTTTTAAAGTCGCAAAAACATAAATAAAAGAAAATGCATACTGCTATACTGTACAATAAAAATTTTAACCCAAAGATATTTTAATTCTGATGGAAAGAATTTAAAAGGGAAAGCAGTGCTTACCTTGCTTCTTGTGAGTACATGCCACTGAATAGTATTTTACAAAACACTTAAGCTACATTGTTGCTTCAGCAGTAATGCAGAAATATGGCATTTTTGAAAATTTCTCTACATTAGTCTGTATAGTGAAGAAGTTATAACACTAAGTATGTACAGGTATATGAAGTTTTGTGCTGAATATTCTTGATGACTATAACAATTGAAGGAGCTAAACAATTCTTACAGATTCAGAGTGTCCTATTGAATATAGTAACAGTTTTAAGATTGCTTAACTCTCATTTATTTTTAGTTTTTAATTGGGAAGTGCTAAACTCAGGGTCATATATGGCTTAGCGCTTCTTTTTGATTATAATAATAATAATAATTCAGGGTCATATAGTGACTATGGAATGGGAGGATAAATCTGGTTTCCTGGATCAAGACCTCATTGTCATCAAGATGCTTCTACTGAGAATAATTTTGTTATTCCATTTGAATATAAAAGCATGAATTATTATTATTATAATCAAGGGGAAGTGCTAAACCTGGAGGATTATACAGCACCTGGGGGGGGGGATGTGGAAGGCATTCAGGCTTAATTCGGGGAACTGGAGCACAGATCCAATTCCCTAAATCAGGAGCCCCTCACCAACATCAAGGAACCTTCCTTGAGGGGATAAAAGCATGAAAATACTTCAACTTTTAAATTTTAACTTATTATAGTTCAGTGTTTGTTGTAAAGGTAGATGTTGACAGGATAGAACCACATTAGATCAGACTTTTCCCTGGAACACATTGCAATCTTTCCCTCAGTATGCAGATAAAATCTCTCCCTCAACATATAGACAAAACCTACTCCCATAGCATATATTTACTACCTATCTGCCATTACTGTTAAATAGCCTATTATAAAAATGTTTTTACAGTAGAAATGTGTAAATGCTGTCTTAGACTTATGCCAATGCTGGTGTAATGAATTAGAATAAGATCCCATTCTTGGCTGCTAAGATTTTAGTTGATTCCTGGTTGGCAGCGCATACCCTGCTGTAGTAGTAGTAGTTTACGATGCATGTGCATGTTTGCTTGCAGCGAGACGTCTTCCTTGACGTGCCCGCTGTGTTGCAGACGTAACTGGCAACAGTTTGAAAATGATATGTGGCGGCTGGAGCAGTGGTTAGCGCATGCCGAGGCCACCCAGTCAACTCAGCACAGTCCACCTACACCAATGGAGCAGTTAGAAGAAGTTGCTCAAGACCACAGGGTTAGTATGACTTATTTCTTGCCACTTTTTGTTATAAAATGCTGATTATTTTATACAACCTCATGCCATGTTTATTTTGTACTGTGTCCATTTACATCAACTTTCCCTTACATTTATGATAGGAGTTCCTCATGGATCTTGATGGCCACAAGTCAGTGATAATGTCACTGAACATCATCGGCAAGCATCTAGCTGAACATACACGTGATGAGAGACGGGCTACACGAGTGAGAGATCGTCTTACTGCTGCCAACCAGCGTTGGGAAGCAGTGTGTGCTGCAGCTTCTGTCTGGCAGGCAAAATTGCAGACAACCCTAATGGGTAATGCAGAATTCCACACTACCATTTCTGACCTGTTGGCATGGACAGACACAACAGAGGAGAATCTCTGAAAATAGCAGCAGAAGAGGACATGGAAGAGGCGGCTCTACGTGAGCGAGTTGGTCGTGTTTTGGATGTACGGGCAGAAGTTGAGCGGTGTGAGCCACGTGTAGCATCTCTGCATGAGGCCGCACAGCACCTTCTTCCCACACAACAGGACGACCAGTGTGCTGCTGTACGCGAGCGCCTAGCACTTCTCTCTCGTCGTCTTCAGCTTCTTCTACAGATGTGTTCACAGCACCTGACTCAGCTCTCCCAGTTGCTAGGTCAAGACTTCACAAGCTCCTTGGCATCACTAGCATCTTCAGGGGTGAGTACTTTTATTAGCTTGCCTGACACACTTTTGGCATATAGTATATGTTTATTCATATGATTTTGCAGACCTGCATGAGGAAAATAGGATTTGCACCAATGCACGTAGCACATGAAATGCACTCTCTTTTCCAGCTGTACGAGTCTGCTGAGTTCTCTTGCTCGCGGCCAACTTCACCCAGCTCCCTGACAGCAAGCTTCCATTCTGATGCTCAGTACGTACAAGAACTTGGCTGCTGGAACCTACCAAGCACCTTCTGTCACATAAAATGTTGTATTACACACAAAGTAGAATTATGCTCAGTGATATTTATTTGTAGATTTTTTGATGAGTATTAATTATTCTAGTTGAATTTTTGTCCGGTTGAGTTATTGCTGTATTGTATTTGCTTTTCCATTTCGATTTGTTCTTAGTTTATATAATTTTAAGGATAAATTCTTCAAAAATTATGCATACAGTATTGTATATCGATATTACATAATTTGATAACATATTACTCTAATCTTCATCACCACCAGCCTAAATTTCTTAATTTGTTTTATTCAAGCAGTGATGTAGGTGATGGCAGCAATGAGGGTGTTGTGCAGCGCTCATACAGGTTCCTCGGGCGAGTGATGCGTGCTGCCCTTCCCATTCAAGCTCTTATGCTGCTCATGCTGGGAGTGGCCTCACTAGTCCCCACTTCTGAAGATGACTATGCTTGCAGCATGGTCAATAACTTTGCTCGCAGTTTCGACCCAATGCTGCGATACCCTAATGGTCCACCTCCATTCTAAGTCCCCCCGTATCTTAATCGCAACTCCCAAAGGAGTATCCTGTCTTCCTAAGGATCTGAAACTCGTGATAATTATTTTAACCAAATGCGACTCAAAATAAACTACTTGGTCTAATTATTCTCATGTGAATGTAAGTTTTATCTCTGGTAAAACGTACCTGTTAAAAGTGCATAAATATATAATATATATTATAATGTTCAGCTTACAGTTGCATCTTGATTAGTTTAGTGAGGCTCTGAAAATGGTCATAATGTTTTAATCAGTTTGTGGCTTATAATTATATGGTAAAGTTGTTGATTTTATCAAGTTTAATACTATTAAATATTTTAATGGTGATGTAATGATTATAAAAGTTCCTTAAGTAAGTGCCCGCTGTTTTAATTATGGATGAAGAGAACTGATAAGCTTCATCTTATTTTTACATAATTCTTTGCCCAGGTTAAGGATGCAGTGTTGTCTATTACTGTGTATATAGTCGACGAGATGCTTACTGTAGTAACTCTATACCCAGACTATACTTGACTTCCCAACTATGGACATCACCTGGTGCTATTGTCTGAACACACTTTGGTGTTGGTGATCCTGAAAGCTGTTACAGAACTGATGAGTAGGTGCTATAAGAATTTATCATGACCTTAAGAAATTAAAATTTATATTAATATTTAATTGAGACTAATATGATGTAATAGTGAATATATTTTACTCTTAATTGATGGACTCAGGTTGAAGAGTTGGTTAGTAATTTAAGAGAAGTGGAAGTGGTGATACTGTAGTCTATAGAAGTCTTTCAGTCATCATTAGGTAATTTTGCATTAGCAGTAGATAAATTATCTGCTGCTTACACCCAGTCAGTTGAAAATGACAAGAAAGGCATTTATAGACATGTCCACTTGCCTTGGTGTATAAATCTTTATCAGTCATTTGTGATAAGTGTTTATGCCCACTGTTGGAGCATGGTTTTTTATAAGGTTATGGTTTAGGCATTCGATATTAGGAATTGATATAAGGATATTAATTCACAAGGAAAGCAGAATATTTTAAATGTACTTAGCACTGATAATTTTTATTCTTACTTGGCTAAATATCTTTGTACATAAATTTTTAATGCATTAGCCTTCAAAGTTCTTTTATTTTATGTTTTTGTCTTTTCAGCATCAGTAGTAAGGTCTTGGCAGTGTGGAACAGTCGGTTAGCGTGGAACCTGACCGAATGTTTTTTGATAAAGTTAGGGTTTACGGACAATGAGAAAATCACGTCCTTAGGGGTTGTGAGCCTATTTACTTTGCACTACGTTGTGGGAGCATAGAATTTTAGGATTACAGTTATCCGTGAAACCCAGCTTAAGCACTGACAGTACACTAGCTATTTGGTATGAGGTGCATCATATGTGATGAAATGCCTTTTCTTTCGTATTGAGTCACTATTTTTTTTTTTTTTTTTTTTTTTTTAGTGTAGGGTCTAAGCTTTTTCGTTTAAATGTTTTGGATCAATTTTTTGGGTTTTGGCGGGCCCGGGGTTTTTTTAAAAAATTATAACAACAAAAATTTTAGGGGGTCATATTTTTGGAATTTTTAAGTCCCTGAACTAATGAACCTATTTGTGCAGGGGGACGTTTGTGCCATAGAGGGTTGGGACCAGCCAATGGGGATTAAATGCAAATGCCAGCCAATAAAAAACAAAATTGCCCTTTCTTGGGGGAACAGAAATGCTAATGCCCAGCCAAAAAAAAACTGCTTAAAACACCAAATCTATAGCAGCCCCGGGATTTTCCATCCCCTAGCATCGTTTTCCCCGCCAGTGAAAGCAGACACCGCTGGGGGCAGTCGTTTAAAACCCAGGGGGATTCAATTCTTACAAAAAAAAGTGTTCTTGTATAAGTTTTTGGGGGCATATCCAAAACCTAAACCTGATTTGGGTAAACCAGACATGGACAAATGGCTCCAAACCCCTAAAAATTTGGGGTGAAAGCCCTAAAACAAAAACCCAAAGCCCTCTTCAAGGGAGGCTCCTTGTTGTGGTGAAGACCCCTTTTGGGGTCTGGGGAAAATTAGACCTGCCCCGTCCCCTTCCCCCAGACCAAACCTAATTCCCCCCCCCAATTTCCCCCCTTTTCCCTATCCCATCCTCCCCTTTTTTTTCCTTTCCCCCTCCTCCTCCTCCCCCCCCCCCCCTCCCTTTGCCCTTCCTTTCGCCTTTGGGATTTCTCCCACGGGCACCTGTTCCTGGGTGGGGAAAGGGTCCCGGGGGTTTCCACCCCCTTCCCGTTGGGGTTTCGGGGCATTGGCTAGTTTGCCGGGGAATCGGATCGCCGGGGGATGTCCCAAACCCTCCCGGTATCCCGATTTGTAGTTTTGGGTGCCCTTTCCGGGCGACGGGGGGGGTGGCCGAAGGGGAAAGCTTTGTGGGGGAATACCCGGGCCCGGGCCCTCTCTTTTTTTTTCCCCCAAAGGTACGGGGGCAATGTGGGGTTTGCTACCCCAAATTGGGCGGTTACGGGAAAATAAAAGGGGTGGGGTTTTGGCATGGTTTCTTTGCGGCTTTGCGCTACTACCCGGTGCTGGGGTCCTTTTTGGGCGCGGAGGAAGTTTTCCCCGGCCCTTTCATTCCTCCGGGGAAAACTTTTCCCCCCCTTTTCCCCCCCTTTTTTATTTTTTTTTTATTTTTTTTCTTTCCTAACCATGGAGAACCCAATCCCATAAACCCCACTCCCCCCCCCGGCCCCCTTCTTGTTTACCGCACCCCTTCTGCCCTGCCTTGTTTTTAACCACTCTTCGGACCCCCCTAATCCCCCTGAAAACCCTCTTGCTGGTGCTTTTTCCCTAAACCCGTTCGGTCCCCCGGGGGCAACGCAAACTCCTTCGTTTTTGTCTGACCCCGCTCCCTTTTGGGACTAGGCTTCGGGCCTCTCCCTCTACGGAAAAGGAAATTTTTTTAAATTCGCCAGCCCGTTTCACGACGGCCCCAACTCTGGTCCTACTCCTAAATGCCCAACCCGTAAATTCCCTGATGATTTTTCCTTCTTTACCTTCCCATTCAATTTGGGAAACGACTGACACTCATGCACTCCCCCTCCCCCGCTTTTTTTTGGGACCACAAAAGGGACAAAAATTCCCTTTTATTTTTAAAAGACCGACCTAATTCTGCCAAACTTTCAAAACCAAGATTGGAAAAAGCGTTTCCTGCGTCATGTTGGTAGGGGATTTTTCATTTCATGCTCTCAAGACCCGGTACGTGATTGTCACTGTCCAGAATGCTCCCCCAAGCCATAAATCTTTCTCCCTTTTCGCATATCGACACTACTATCACTATTAAAAAAACATCTTTCTCTAAATTTTGTAGGGGAACTGTCATTCTGCCCCATCCCATACCCAACAGAATTTCCGGGTCATGGGGGGGGGAAAAATACATTTTTTAACACTGGAACTCCAGGATCTCCCAATCCCCAAAGTAAAAACTTATGGCCCTTTCCCCTGCCCGCTGGGGGAAGACTTCCCCTTTTCAATGTGGCTTTGAAATTTAAATTTTTACAGCCGTGAACCCCCCGTCCCCTGTTTGTCGCGGACATCGGTTTTCAAATTCGAAAGGTGATCCCTACACCGCAACAGTGTAGAAAATTTCTGGCGATTTGGGGCCCTCCCCGCAAAATTTTTGCAATCTATACCGAATGCCCCTCTGTGGTTTCCGACGAAACCTTCTAATGCATCTTTCCGTCAAAACCCCCATCTTGCCTTAAAATTTTAATGAGGGGTCCCCTTCGTACCCCGCCGTTGCCAAAGGGAAATTGGGAAAGAGCGTGAAATCCTTTTCCTCAAAGATCAGAAGGTCTCCCATGCTATGGCAGTTACTTTATCTCCGCCTCCCCAAAGGGAAAACAAACCCCCTTTTTCTTATTCTCGTGTTTCCAAAAAGGGCCTCCCACTTTTGGGTCCCAACTTCTGCAGCCTCCTCTGTTGTTTCCCCTCCCATAACCCCTCCGGGATCTAATCCTTTTTCGTCCTTTGGGTCTGACCCCCGAAAAACAACTCAGTCTGTTCCCCACATCTTCCCCGTCCTTCCCCCACAAGCCCCCTATCGACAAGACCCCGTACACACCCTTTTACCAATTGCCCCTCTACTTCTCAGAATCCAAAAAATCCCCCGTGGCCCCAAATCTTCTTTTCCCTTTTTCCCCCCCGACTTTACCTTTCCCTTTTTTTGCCCATTTTTCCCCCCTTCTCTGGCTCTATTACAAGTGTTAGGTTTACCCCTCCTCCTCCCTACTAAAACTTTTTTAAACCCCCGCCCCCCAAAATTTTCCCCCCCCTTCTGTCACCCCCCCAGGTTTTTGCCTCTTCGTCCCCTCCCCCACTTTTTCTACATTTTCCCACACTCTTTTTTTTCCCCCCCTACTTTTGGGACAGTCCCTTTTCTGCCCAACTTTTCTCCCCCCCCTCCTTCTACCTCCCCTATGTCTCCCCCTACAAACTTTGAATTCAGAAACACTTTGAAGCCAATTTCCCAAAAATATTTCCAGAACAAACCCTTTAAAGGGGCACCCGATCCACCTCCTACCCCTCCCTCCATCTCCACAACTCCATTTTCTTCGGGAATGCTCTGTTTTTCCTTTTGCTACTTTAAAACCCTTTCCCGCCACCACACTTTTACTTTTTTAACCCCCCTAGCCTTTGGTGCCCTTTCCCAAAAGGATTCCTGGGATTTTCCTTTTTTGCCCCAAACATGGCCTATTTACAGTGGAATAACCGCGGGCCTTTGGTAATCGGGGGGACTTCAGATGTTTTCTTTCCAGGGTTTTCCCCCCGTTGGGGGCTTGCTTACAAAACCAAATTACACTCAGCTGTTTTCCAAAACCCATCCAGGCTATAATTTTTTTGTATTCTTCCGGGTCCTTTTTCAGTGGGGGCCTTTAATTTAAATGCCCCTTTTTCTACCAATGAAATTTTTCCCTACGCAACTATTTTTTCCATACCTCCCTTTCATTAAAACTGCAGCCCTTTTCCACTTACTAAGTGGTTTTAAATAAAGTTTTTTTAATCTCTCTCCTTCTCGACATTTTCCCATCCCAATTTTTCCCTTTTTAGTTTCACCCTTACCACCCCCCCCTTCTGTTACTTGGTGTTTTAAAACCCCCCTAAATTCCCCTGGGGGTGGGGGCTCATTTTGACTCAAAAAGGGGGGATCCAATTGAGGCTTTTTTCGCCTCTCCCCCCCCTCCATGTTTTAAATAAAGGTACCCCCACCCATTTTGAAACCTTGTACCATACTCCTCTTGCATCGATCTAAACAGTCGCTCTTCCTCCACTGCACAAAACTTCACCTGGGCCCTTTTTAAAAGGAAATTACAAAACAGCAAAACTTTTCCAATCAAATTTTTAATTTTTTCCTATTCACCCCTTTTTCCCTAGCCCTCGCTGGCAATTTGATCGGGCAAATTTTGGGTCTTTTCCCCGCAACTCACTTTCTTTTTGTGAGGTTCCTTCTTCATCCCCATTGATGAAACCCTACACCTCTTCTTCTCGACGTCACTTTATACCGCAGCTTTTCATTCTATACCCCAAACCTCAGGCAGGGCATTCCAGAAGTGCTGCCTTGGGTTTGGGCTCCTGCTTGGGGCTTTTTCAGTACGTTTGAAAAGCGGGTGCATGACAGGTACCCCGGGACAATAAAACCCCTGAGAGACTTCTTGATTTTTAAACAAAGCGTGGGGATCCCCTCACCGTGTCTCCGGAAGCTAAACACACTTTTAGCGAGACTTTTCCCACCTCCCCTTCCTTCTTCTAGGGTGCTTCTGAAAAGGGGAAAATTGAGGGGAAAATACCCCTCCTGCCCCCGGCCCTGTTCTAC